CTGCAGGAGTTGACCAACACACGCGAGCATGGTGCCCAGCATGTTCTGAACAGGCCACTGCAGCCACTTGATGAGTCTTGAAGCGAATTAACATTAATTATAGAAAACATATATGCAGCCTCAGCGTTTGGTTTTGCGGATGCTCATCCTCACCTGTGAATTGCATGGGTAGAATGCAACAGGCGCTTAGAGCGTATTCAGCCGCATGACAGCCATGCCGTGGCCTTAATGACTTTCACAGGCGGTGGCATGCAAGATGGTGGTGGTACTGTCTCATGGTGTACCTGGTTCATGGACAGATATGTAAATTAAATTGGCAACATGCCCAACACTGTTCAGTCTTGTACAATAATTGCTGAATCAAAAACCAATTGGTAAATTGCCCACCTCAACTTGCCTGCTCTTTTCACTGAACCCTTCCAGGTTGGAACTGCCACTTTCTGTTTCCTGAGTTTGCCAAACCATGTTCCGTGGTAGCCGCTGCAGTGAATCGAACTGCACATTCTTTGCTTATGACAGTTCTCAAGTTCCCTTGTGAAAAGCACTGGCCAAGCATCATTGCCAACCTCCATCATCTCCCATTCCTCCCGAGTCACAATGCCACAACGTATAAGTTTCTCAGGGTCGGCCTCAGCCATAAAAATGTAAAAGTGCATTGCATTCAATGGTAACCTAGAGTGTTTCATGCACAGGCTCCAAATTGCAAATCTTAATGCTTGAAAGCGCTAAACACATGTTGCCATCCAACGCACCCAAGGGTTCGAATCACATAGTTGACAAAGTCTTGAGAACACCGTGGATGATGAAGCCTCGATTGTGATATCAGAATTATATAGGACACTTGCAAGAACTGGCTGAAGGGCATTGAGATTCGGCGTATCAAAGCGCAGTGTACCAAGAAACCATCGGAGCGTCTTCCACGCTGTCGCTGATTGACTCCTGCCAGAGGCATGGTGCATTGGCCATGTCTGCGAGCACTATACTGCCCAGCAGACTCTTGGCGAGACTGTTGCGTCCATACGATATGACAATGCATTCCCAACATAAATTTTATGTAAGGGCCATGCATGACATGGTTTGAAACTTGTGTTGGAACATGGAATGACTCCTCATGAGGCGGATCCGCTGTCATGGCCAAATATTGATCAGGCATGAGCCAAGGCAAAAAGGTGCTGCAAACACCATCTATGCAGGGACAAATCTAGAACAACCTCAATAGAGAAAGCATGCCCAAAGTTCCACAACATCTTCCTGGGGCACTCCGCAGGACCATGCGACCCATCAAACCTGCCGTGTTGCACGCTGAGCGCAGGGTTGGTATAAGCATGCTGGGCAAACGCTCGCATGCGAAGCCAGGCCCATACATATTTAGTATTCCACACAGGTGCCATGTAGGAGGAAGTTCATAAGTGCCATCCAATGATCAACAATCATCACAAGCTCCATGATATCAACCAAACTGGTCCAACAAATTTGCAACTTGGTTGGGGCTCTTGGGATGGGTATCTACGTACTCATGCACATCACTCCAACGTTTTTTTGGTTTGAAGCATGATGATGCAAGAGCGCAACGCGCCCAGAATGCTTCTGAAACCTGTCAGCTCTGCCCTCAGTGGCCCAAACCTGCACGCCACTGTTAATGGATCTGGTCACCTGCGGAGCGTTCCCATGGTGAGATCAGGACATTGCGAGCTTAGCTGTGAGATCTCTATATACTAACCTGTCAGGTCTGTATACGAGGCAAAAGCAGGCTGGGCAATGGCTCGCTTGCAGTAACAATTTTCCTATCAGTTTGGCACCCCAAAATCTGACCCCCACAACCAACCTATGTTGGCAATTCAACGGTGCCGAAAAATATTAAGAGAATTACGAATATTTCAGTATATGAGTCGCCGATCACTTTTTTTTCTCAGCAAGCATGCGCTCACTTCCCAGGGAAAGTGAGCGCATCCATGTGTGATGCTTCAACATAGATAAGTTTTATGTGATGCATGTATGCAATGCGCCCAGCATGCTTCTGAACCCTGCAACTCAGCCACCACTGCCCCAAACAGCCAAGCCTCCAATGGTTCGCGGCAACTTGCAGAGTAGGTGTACCTCAGAAGATTGGGCAGCTGAGTGGATATTTCAACCGTTCAAAAGACAAATTGCACTCCTCATCTCAGTACAATACACCACCAAGGACGATAAACTGTTGAATTCAACCAATTTCGCAACTTGTGGCGCCACAAGTCTGATTTCTAAAAGTTGTGGCGCCACAAAATTTCAAATTGAAAACTTGTTACCCCACAAGTTTTAAAATTTTAAAATTAAAAATTTTGTGGCGCCACAACATTCTGAATTGAAAAGTTGTGGCGCCACAAAATCCCAACTTGAAAAGTTGTGGCGCCACAAAATCCTAATAGATAACCTAAAACACATCACCCAAGACCCCATGATACAGGGGGGAATGCTGCCCGTTTTTTTTTTACCTTTTGAAGACCAGACGTTTTTTTCTTGTTTTTTGGTTCTGAAGGCAACAGCAAATATCTTGAAAGGACAGGCTGCCGCTATCACTTTTCAATTTTTTGTGAACCAAAAAATCTGTAGAATTGATGTGAAATAATGTTGTACTTATGAGAAAATGATCGCAACTCACACTTCTGAGGCTCCTGCACACCAAAAAAGATCCAGCTGCTGAGCACTGGTGAGGTCCTGGCAACAGCTGTTTGCTGGACATAGCACGCTTGACACTCAACAGGTTGATATGTTTACTCATGAAAAAAAGTGCCAATTGAACAATGTGTGAATACAATGTTTGCATCACAAACGCAAGTGTCGCAATAAACTTTAGGGCATTTGACTTAGTCTACATGGTAAAGACTTTTCACGATGCTCGAAATTATCTAAAACGGTTCAACTTCAAGGATTTTCGAGCATCATCACTTTTCGGCATTATCCCAAAACATTCTGTTGCTATATCCCCCACCTGACCAAAGAGCGTCCATATACCATGCTGGGCCTGCAGGCTCGCGTGGCAGTGCGTTGGACGTATATACAACACCATGCATGCGAGCTGAAGTAGCCCAGCATGCCTTTGGAAAACCAAACAGACAGGACTGAATTCAAAGTTTCCTGTTGGTGCCAGTTCAAAGTCATGGAACACATCAGTTGTGGAATTCAATGCATGCGCGAAAGAATCAAGAACATACATGCGGTGCAACCACCACAACTGAAACTTATATAGGAAGGACATGGGCCTCCATGGACTGCAGTCTTGCAGCAGTTCAGAAATACAGCTGGCATGTCACGTTGACTCACAAGAGTGCAACCCCAATAAGTGCAGTTTGAAAGCACGCTGGGCATTTGCTCGCGTGTGCATGGGCTAGTTCTGACCCAATGTTCACAAAAGAAGCACAAACAAATTTTCCCGGATACAATCCATCCAGCTCAATCGCTGTGCAGCTCTCGATGCAATGTTAGCATCTCCTATTCCGGTCCATGGCTTGCTCCCTCTTGAGCATCTGCAGGGTGGCTTGCACCTTCACTCTCCTGGCTCTTCCTCCTTTTGAGTCTTCGTCTTCTCCTGGGTGACTTGGGCGCATCTTGCTCACCTTTGGGGGCCTTTTCCTTCTTTTCTATGGGGTGAGAGCATTCCAGTGCAGCAAAGATGTACCCCAAGTTCGTCTCGTTGAGCTCGACGTGGAGGTCCTTGGATTTCACATGCCATAGCATTCTGCAGCTGATGCCCTCGAACTCGACTCCATCTGATGATGTAAATGGTGGCAGCCAAACTGATATCTCCTGGGCGATCAGGAAGCGGTCATCTTCCCTCGCCTGCCTGAACCTGGGCTGTGGCTCCCCCTCCTTCATTCCAGCCATCATGTGAGCGCGCAGCATGGCAGTGCACGCATCATTTCCTCAGTATGCACTATATATAATCAGGAAAATCCCTACTTATACTGCGGCAATCGAAAAGCCGTGGGCAACACAAAATGTTTTCAACTCTCAAAAGTGTATATGGGGTCTGCTTCGAAAAGGCCTTGCCATAAAATGTTAAACAGGTCTGAGATGCTTTTCTGCTTGGTATCCTGCCACCATTCCACATTCAGGTTGTGAACTTCCTTCTTGCTGTGCCGGTTTTGCGCCTTGCCAGTCACCAGCAGACACAACGTTGCATCTGCCTTGGTGAGGGTGATGTAGATCCTGCCATTATGCTCCTGGGCCTCTGGAAACCACTGGCGCTTGCCAATTGTGACCCTGTGCACGGTCGCGATGCCGATGTGACGAGTTGCCCAATCGTCATTCACCTCATCATCATTGCCATTGCCCTCATCATTGTCAGCACCATTGGCATCACCATTGCCACCATCATTGCCACCAACATCTGCCATATGCACATTCGAAGCGGTATAGATCAACGAAGTTTTGAGCCTATATTGTCTTGCATATACCCTGCAGAGTTGCGCAGGCTGGACCAACAACATCTCCCATTGCAATGCTTTCAGCTTGCCCTTTACAAGCATTTGCACTGGTGTTAGGTGATGACACATTATGGCATTTGAGTTGCACAACTGTGGCATGCGCTCAAATTCGTTTGCGAGTGGCGAGACCCAGCAAACATCATGAAACCGTTCCACTGTGCTCCAAATCAAATTGCAATAAACGTTGCAACAGCTTCCATTCAAGCAAGTCCAAGACATATGTATATATATATGTACTCCGACACCATGAAGTGTCACCTTTTTTTTTTGCATGTGGCTGGCTGGGACAACAAATGCTGATGCAAGCCAACTGCGAAATCAGATGCAGCGGTCATGCACGTTTCCTATATAAAGCACTCAAAGTTCGGACCCGCGCACACACACGGGAATGATTGAAAAAACGTGCAAGTTCGGACTCGCACACATGGGAATCCTTGAGAAACCGTCATGGTTCCGGAAACTCGCACACACGGCCTTGAAAAACCGTCATGATTCCGTATGACGGAATCCGTCACTTCTTCCCTCGGAGGTGTTCACCTAGCTTGTCTTGCCGCGCAATCTCTTCCGGGGGTTATCGGCTTCGATCACCTCCTCGACCTCTGCGGTCTTCTTCTTCTTCTTCTCCAAAACGAAGAGCTCGTCGCCGGCCTCAAGTTTGCCCACGTTGCGCAAGACCGGAAGCGTGATCGGCTTGTCCAAATCAAGCTTGTTCTTCCTCATGACTTCGACGCTCGGGTGAACCTGCATGCAATGGTCTCAAGTCAGAATTTACCACATGCAGGGAAATGATTCGTCAAGATCTGCCACAACATAAATAAATGTGTTCGACCAAAAAATAGATGGCATCATCGCCATACAGAGAAGAAAGTATACATTATATATATGTATATTGCAAACAAATGTGAATAGAAAGCGCACCTCCATATTCACACTCTCTTCATCATCCGTGCCCGGAACCATCCACATTGGATTGCAGAAGCTGCCAAACTTCGTGTACGGAACGATGCACACCTCGTATGGGCCATACACCCCAATGGTGATCCCAGTCGCCTTCTCGGGCTCAACCACCAAGATCTTCGATGTCGCGCATGGCAGCGCCAGCTTCTTTGCCTGCCAAACTCGGCTGACTTTCAAAGCCTTGGGGTCCTTCCACAGCTGCACGGTCAGCCATCCCTTGAGCTCCTTGACCTGCTGGTGCATGGTGGCCAGGATCTTGCCCTTGATCACCGTGATGCCAAACTCAGCGGAGGTATGGGGAGCATCGGTAACCCAAAACAGCTGTGTCTGCTGCTTCGGCTCTTCGTACTCCTTCCATTCCTTCTGGAGCAAGCTTTGGATTTTCACCTTCACCTGCCCACCTTCAGGCTCGCTTCGAAGCAAAGTCACTTCGCTGTCGTGAATTTCTTTGATCTCTCCAATCACATTGCTGTTCTGGATTGTGACGCCAACCCGAAAGCCCATCGAAGCAAGGACATCCACCTGATTCTTCAGATGGCCCTGCTCATCGTACACACGGAAAGATGCATGACCTTCCCGTGCAGTTGCCTTGGGCTTTTCCTCACTTGCTCCTTCCTTCCATGACTCTGGCGGCTCGATGGATGGCTTCCCAATCTCCTCCGCAAACTCCTTCAGAAGGGAGATGCATGCGTCTTCCATCTTTTGGAATTCCCTGGACTTCTTGTCCAGGAGCACCGCGCAAAGGCAGCACTCCAGCCGGCCCACTGCTCTCTGGAGCGCCGTCTCGTTCTCAACCTGGCCAACCAAGGTCTTCCACTTCTCCACCATCTTCAGGGCCTTCTCGGCCATCTTCACGACCGCGGTGTTCGTGAGGGCCTTCTTCGCCTTGGGGCAACATGTTTCATGTGCACTATCTATATATATATATATTGTGGAGACATGCGGCTTACCTTATAAGGAAGCGAGTCAAAGACCCAGCTTCTTTACGGCCAACAACTCAAAGGGATGCGCATAAGCGCCATGCATGGGTGTGTATATATATATATATATGTATGTGTATTTATTTATTGTTTTTCAGGTGTATTTATATATATATGTATGTATATATATACATGTAAATATATATATATATCTATATGTAAATATATATATATATGTAGACATATATATCTATATGTATATATATGTAGATATATGTAGATATATATATATATATATATGTATATGTGTGTATACATGTATATATGTATACATGTATATATGTATATATGTATATATGTATATGTAAATATATATATATATATTTATGTATGTATACGTAAATATGTATATATATATATATGTACGTATGTAAATATGATGCTGATATGTACAAGCCAACGGTGTGAACACATTGGGAAAGACTTGGTGGAATGTTCATCCGAAGTCACATCGGTTACTGACAGCGCCCGGTCAGAGCAGTATGCATGCTTGAGCAAGGCATGACGCCACCACAGCATGGGCCCATGCTTGACATCCTGGCTCAGCTGGGTCCACACTTCCGGCCCCAAGTCCCTGCTAGGGCGGCCATTTGCCCTGACGAAAGATTCGGTGTGCTTCAAAGCTCCACCTGCCCCGGCGAACTTCATGGCAAATGTGAAGATGGGCCCTGCTGACAGGTGGCATTTTGGCCTGGACCGCAAGGTTTCATCTGCTATCTCGCTCCATTGAGGAGCTCGGCTGTGCGTTTTCTCATAGTTCTGAATGGCCTGCAAGATTTTCTTCAGCAGCTGCATTTCATCTTCTCCTTTGGAGACTTGCTGTGTGGCGTTCATGCCCATTGAGACCAACTCAATCACACCCGGCATCTCTGCAGCCACACATCGTTTGATCACCATCCAGGACGAGCCATTGTTGATGGCCGCAGCCCAGGCAGAGCCAATGGCCGACATTGTCAGGCGGCCAGAGCCATCCGTTAATGTTGGCTCATCATGCAATGCACCGTGCTGGATGGCACGGTTAGCCATGTTCGCATGGCTTCCACTGATTGTAGCATATCGCAACATGGCTCCCGGTGCAGGGGCCAAGCGCCCAGAAGCCTCTTGGTACAGCTTCTCGTTGAACTTCCTGCAGGGTTATTTATGTATGTATGTACATATATGTGTTTTGGTTTTGTGTTCTGGAAGCACACCGCAAGACTCTGTTATATAGTTGAAAAAAGCCCCACTAATAGGGGAGGGGGATGAAAACAGCTTTGCTAGCAAAGTATAGTGCGACCATGCAGTTTGTTTCAAATTTAGCAAAGAATGCTTATAAGCAAAAATGGAATGAAGCATTTCATTGATTAAAACCCAAACGAAACAAGTCTACATTGTAGGATTCAACACAAACCGTCTATAACTATATAATATAACGTTGCGGCAACAAGATCTTTATATAGCCATGCCTGCACTCTTCGGAATCAGCTGACATGTCCAGTTCCACTGCTATGCGCTGCCCGACACCGGCATCTTCGATGTATCCCATCTTAGCAATGCTGGTGATCAGCTCTGACATATGAGAGACGTCTATGCCAACACCGTGGCGATTGCTCTGGTGCACTGCCAAATTCTCACATTTGACAGTCATGGCGTACATGAGGTTCTCAGATCGCATGAAAGTCATCGCTTCCTGCGAAGCAAACATGATGCCATCCTTGGCCACCCTATTCAAACAGGATTGCAAGACCTTTTTCTGGCGCTCGTCCATGGCAGCGCGAGGCACGGATAGACTCAACTATCCAAAGGTGACCACTGAATCACAAATGCACAAACATCACATGTGTCATTCCGCCTGTTCCACTATGCACACTGCATATGACTTTGCATGTTCTTGCTGTTCATGCACGCAACATGCAAGGCTTGCGAGCCAACTAGCCCAGCAAGTTAAAAGGCATGCGCGCTCCCTGCGACTTGAAAGGCATGCATGAAGACAAGCTTCAGCAAACTGCAACCATCCCAAACTCCATGCCTGCATGCGTGTGCCGCAAAAAAGGTCCTGAGGAGTCGGAGTGGATCATGGGAAACAATCAGAAGCATCATTCCGGGTGGAGCATGTCCTGTGGGATGAAACAGTTGGTGGACCCATCAAGCCATTCCAAATATACGTGGGACACCATGCAGTGTTAAAATCTTTCCGGGCAGGCGCAAGAGCAAGATCTTCAAAATACCTGGAAAAATGCGAAGCAACATTCAAGTATTGTTTTGTACAACACATCTACGGCCTGCAGCTGATGGCGCCACTCACACTATATCATATATGGTCATTAGGCACCCGGCACTGCCATGTCCAAACGATGCCTTGGGCAGACCTGGCACCATTCTGTAGACAGATTTGTTCACAGAAAACTTGAAAATCAAGCGAGCATATACAGCCCAGCTTGCTGGTAACACATGTATTTGGTAGAACATTTCTCTTCAGACACACCTCTTTTGAACGTTGAACCATTATAACCTTGGTCGTGAAGCAACAAACCATCCCTATAATGAAGCAAACACTGATGGAGGGATGGTCCTTTCATCAAACCACATGCAAATCAGTGAAGGCAAGGTATCACACTGATGAAAGCACTGAAATGCTCAAAATTCAAGCCAGATGTCTGCATTCAAATGACTTGGCTTCGATTTTAGACAAAAGTACAATCACTTTCAAACAGGGTTTGGGAAGTTGACCACAAAAGAATTAGAAATCACGGGTTGGATATTCAGGTCGTTTTTTTTCACATATGGACACAAGAACTCTGCATGCTGTCGGAACCCTTCATGCGGTGAGCTCCAAATCACGACGTCGCAAATTTTGTCCTTCCTCTGCGTTTTGTAAAGTACCCCATTTTGCACACGGAAGTCTATAGTAAATTACAAATTTAAAATTCCCCATGTACCACAGCTCAGCGAAATCGGCGATGCTTTCTGACGTAGTCTTCCAAGAAGTCTCCCAAGATATGTGCCTCGACACTCTCCTCGGAGCAGCGGCTAAGCTTTTTTTGATGGTGCATATTTAGGCCTTTGTCGGAAATACATCCTGAAAATGAAAACACTGGCAAATGCATGGGCAAGTGACTGAAGCCAGCAGGTAGGCAGAATGACGCTTCAGTCTCCCTGTGCTGGTAACCTTCAGGAGGTTCCTGTGCACCTCGTACGGATGCACAGCCGCTGCTACCTGCTTCTTCTCCGGAATCCATGCGGGGGGCGGCATGGAGGTCATGGCATTTGTATCTGCCGAGCTCATGGTTATATGGTTTTGGGATATTTTGGGCCACTTCCGTAGCTGCATTCAAATCAGCATCTGACATCTGCCATGGAGTCAGATGGACACATTTCCCCAGAAGCGACAATATGTATAAGGTGTCTCATATATGTACAAATAAATAAATAAATATATATATATATGTACGTGTGTGTGTATACATCTGACTGATGTCGACATGCGCCGGATAGATTTCATGAACCAAACATCATGTGACGCAGGTGGAACCCCTACCACATGCGAGCAACCATGCCCAGCATGCATGCTTCTGAAGTCCGCCAGCCTGCACCGCATAATGGGGCTCACGCAGCCGCGCCAATTGGTCCTAGCTGCAGGTTGGGCAATGCGGTATAGTGGGTCACAAAAATGAGAGGTCATGACTCGTTTTTAAGTTGTGTATAAAAGGATGCTGGGCAGTTGCTCACACGCAATTCCTGTGTGAATCTTATTCCAAGACCCATAAGTTGCCACCCCAAATTAACCCTCTTGGACATGTTGGATATAGTATAACGTTGATGCGCTCACTCACTCCAAGTTTAGGTGATCTGACAGATGCCATGATCAATGCACCATGCCTCCAATAGACGAGCTGCCGCAGAAAGTTGGTCCTGACACGCTGCGTTCCACCGGCAACACTTCTGTAGATATCAACGGTCAATCTTGCATTAAAGGTATATGTCTGCTATAGGGTATGAAGTATATACAGCGCAACAGGCTTGATTGAATGCAATGATTAGTATGGATGGAAAATGTTTTAAGAGAAAAATATATCTTATAGACCCCGGTGAATGAACTTCGTATCAACCAAAATGATCCCAAAATGATCAAATCAAAGGCGCCACCACATTGAAGGTCGTTTGCTGATATGCCGAATGCATTCCAGTATGGATACGATGTGTTTGACTTGATGCTGGTCCAAAAATAGATATGGATACATTTCTTACATGTTAGATTTCATTGAAACATCATGGAGTCCCATGATATGAACGATGCCACTGTTTTTGATGATTGCCACTGGCACATCATTCTTGAGTGAATGATCTGAAAGATGTGCACTGCATGCGAGCGCGACGCACCCAGCATGCTTGTGATCTATGTGTCATTCCTCCAATAGACGAGCTGCCGCAGAAAGTTGGTCCTGACACGTTGGTCTGACATGAGCGGAGATATATTTAAACACAAAACTCTGTGCAGTGAAATACTTCGTAATTCCACATTAGTTCTGCCCAGTTCTAGGACATGACCTACATTACCATGTGACTTCAAACACAAATTCCCTGCAGGTCTTCTTGTCCAACGCCACGGCACAAATCATGCACTCCAGCCGCGGCCAACCGCTTTCTGGAGCTAGCTCGCAATGGATGCATCCAGTGAAGGCTCACTGGGATGAAAATGCATGCATCCACTGCAGGCGACGCTCACTTGGATGAAATTTAGTTTTCACCTAATTTGGATGAATGTCTGAAAGCAGCACTCTTTTTTTTGGCGCTATGAAAAGACAGGTGTAAAACTCCCAGGTTTCGGATTTGTTCGCATCTCCATCCACAACCAGGGAAAGACTCCCTGCAGCAATGCAAGCAAGCGAGCCGTAGCCCAACCTGCTTTTGCATGGGTTCGCGATAGCTTTCATATCTATAGTAGCTGGATTGAAGTCAGAATGATGGTTGTTTGTATGCATATGTAAATATACATATATCTGTCCCATGCACCCTTTGTTGTGGCACTGTCAATCCACTTCCTGCTGGCTAGTCAGTGAGCATGCATTTTGTTGGTGCAGCTTTAAATCACCACTTTCGCACGGCCGACAATCAGGTGGTGCTCAATCAGAATTTCAAAACAAAACTTGTTTGAGTTAATGTGCACAATTTTTGAAAATTTACGATAAATACCCGTATACCGGCTGCACCTGCACTCTTGTGCATGCAGTTGCGAGCTGGTTGCACAATCCACAGCTATGCATGCTTTGTTTATTTTAGCAACGTGACAGGTTTGCCAGCAACTCATGCCAGAACCCGAGCAAAACAATGGATGTGTGAAAACTGAAACCTTGATCCGCCATTGATCTGCACTTGTTCATGCAATGCATGACGGATGAAACAAAATGTCGATATGCTGGCTATAGCATCAGCCTGCATTCTTGCGGCTCAACCATTTTCGAACATGTCCAAGAAAGGTTTTGATACATGCACGGCCACATGCAAAGGTTCCTTTGAAACAAACCCATTTGAACATTTATACGGTTTGAGTTTGGATGACAAGCTGCAGGTTGTGCAAGTTTGCACATCCATTGCGGTAAGCCCGGATCCCACATCCCATGGCTTGGAAATGGGAGGTGATGTGTCTATAGAATGATAAAGAACTGAATTGTGTCATCTCAGTGCTTTTTGCTGTTGACGAAGTCACGCAGCGTTGCAGCCATGCTCAATATACCGATGACAGGAGTCAAATCAGAGCCTATATAGAGCTCGAAGCAGCCTTTGATGCACATGGATGGAAGAACACATGTCTGGAAAGTGCGCCATGCAGGGTCTCTCTCAGGACTCCGAAGATCAGAGGTATGTGCATACGTACCATGAGGGAAACCACGAATCGCATCAATCTTGTTCGCGTATGCACAAATATACGAACCTATATCCATATGCATGTGTGACAGGCAGGCAGTATATAGGTGGTGCTTATAATATCTGTATGTTTGTGTATATTTATTTACTTATATATTCATATATATATACACATAAATATG